ACACACACACTCACACACCCACACTCACACACACACACATACACACACACAAAGGCAATAAGGCTTGGGCTTAAATATATATCACAAGATTTAAGGTGATCTGTGTTGTAGAAGAAGGATAAATGAAATGTTCCAGAAATTCAGTGGTGGGGGGTAGTTAAGCTGAAGATTGGTGAAGGTGAGGTGCAGTGGGGAGAAGGGACTACAGAAAGTTTGAAGATGATCTTTGAGTTGGAGCTTGAAGGCTGAGCATGAGGGATAGGGAAGGGTCTTCAGGTTAGAAGACAACAGGGACAGGGACTTCAGATAAGACAATGGGAGGGTGGATATTTAGAAACAGACACAGCGAGTTGTGAAGAAGGTGAGGCTAAGAGATGCCATCGAATGACAAAATGTCCTTGTCCTGCAGAATGTAAGAGGGCATCCAGGACCTCTCAATACAGACTATTCTAAGGGGAAGGGTGCCACAAGGTAGAGCAAGGAAACCCCTTGCTCTCTCCCTTGGTCTAGGGTGCTCGCCTGATTCCCTGCCATGAATGGACTTTGCCTTCCCCATCTGCTGCCATCGTTATAAGGAGGCACTCTGTTTCTGTGACCTTCAGCGGACGGTGTGGTGGCTGCAGAGCCAGCTGGAGAAGATGGAGTGAATTAGAGAGACATAGGTGAGAATAAAGGGAGAGAGAGAGGAGAGAGAGACCAGGAGGATTGCAACAGTTGTCCCTTCATAATCAACAGACATTGGGGGATTTATTTGTAAAAAAAAAAATAACAAACAAAAACTTTTGTGTGGTGCTGGGGATTGAACCGAGGGCCTTGTGCATACTAAGCAAGTGCCCTAGCACTGAGCGACATCCTCAGCCCAAGATTTTTCTGATATGTATGTAGGGGATCTTTCCCAAGGGTACAATTTCACTTGAAGGGTTTCAACAGTAGACAACTAGGTACTGAACAAGCGGAAGGCTCAAGTGGGGTGACAGTGACTAAGGTAGGGCAGGAAAGGAAACTGAACATGGATGTAGGAGAGAAGGCACGGATGTTGCTCAGCAACCCACCCCCCTCCTGTATGGTAACATGCAGGAAGGCAGAGGGGCAAGTTACGAGAAGCTGATACCAGTGTGACAAATTTTTTATTTTGAACCAGATCCTGTGGCGCACACCTATAGTCCCAGCTACTCAGGAGACTGAGGCAGGAGGACCACAAATTCAAGGCCAGCCTGGGCAGCTTAGCTGGACTGTTTTATTGTTTTTTGTTTTATTGTCTCAGAATAAAATAAAAAAAAACAAAAGGTTGGAGATATAACTCAGTGGTAGAGTGCTTGTCTAGCACGCATGAGGCCCCAGGTTTGATCCCTCATATTGCAAAAGAGAAAAAGAACTGTTTTTGAGACAGAGTCTTCCTGTATTGCCCAGGATGGTCTTGAACTCCTGGGCTCAAGCAATCTCTTGCCTTAACTTCCTGAGTAGCTCGGATTGCAGTGTGTGCCAGTGCGCCCAGTTTATATATAAATTTTTAACCTTTTCCTTTTTATTTTTTCCTTCCTTCCCTTAATCCTTTCTCCATTTGACTAGCTAGACGATATGGTACCCATTGCCTTAGGAAGGAGGAAAAAAAGTGAATAAAAGGCTTAGGTTTCAAAAGCACTGACCTGGAAAGAATTCAAGGCATAGGGGACAAAGGCTTCTTTTCCCTAGAAGAGATAAAAGTGTCCTGGGTCAGAGGAGGAACAGGAATCTGAAGAGAAATGGAGGCATGGAGTCAGGCCTTGCCCCACCTGCGCCCACTCCAGGGAGACTGGGGAACAACAGTCTCCAAAGAGGATTAGACGACCTGGTACAGTAAGGACCTGAGCTTCAACATGCAAACCGAGAATGGGGAGAAGATTAAGACTCCCAAGAAATGGCTGAGTAGTAGCTAGGTACAAAGACCCTCCAGAAGGGCTTCCTGTACACTGTGTCTAAAGAGGTTGGGAGGGGATACCTGGGTACCCAAGAGTGGCACTGAATGAGTGCCAGCTAAGTAGTAACCTTAGGGGGAAAAAAAGGTCAGGTGGACTTAAAATGGAGACCCAGGATGAATTGGACTGGAATTACCAACCAGAGGCCTGCACGTTCCTGGGCCTTTTTCTAGCAATGTCATGGTCCTGGGGTTTTGTTAAATTTGAAAACATAAGTACAATCAATTAAAGCCACCACATCTTCCCACTTGGACTTCTCTTCCTTCGTCTTTCCCTTCTGTACTGTGATGTTGAAGTGGCTGTAGGCATTCTTAGGATTCAGTTAAGGGAAATTTGAAAGATATCATCTTAACTGCAGTATAGAAAGATATTTTGAGATGTTTCAGTAAAACAAATGAAATTAGAGTCCTCTAATTTGGACCGATATGAAGATGGTTTTTATTGTTACCATTAAATGTATCACCACCATCCCACACTTTTTTTTTTTCTTTTTGGTACTAGGGATGGAATCCAGGGGGCCTCTACTTCTGAACTATTCCTCAGTCCTTTTTATTTTTTGAGACAGGGTCTCACTAAGTTGCTGAGGCTGGCCTTGAACTTAAGATCCTCCTGCCTCAGCTTACGAATACTTGAGATTACAGGTGTGTGCCACCACATCCAGCTTTTATTTTTCTTCTTTTTTTGAGACTGGGTCTTGATATGTTGTCTGAGTTGGTCTCGGGTTCCTCAAGTAATCCTCCTGCCTCAGCCTCCTGAGTCACTGGGACTACAGGCACTTGCCCCTATACCTGGCTTAAATATAGTATTTAAATTGTATTATTAAGAAATGAAAGACAATTCATATTAAAATAAAGTTTTGGAAAAAAACTAATAAAATATAAAGCAGAGCAATAAAGATCAACAATTAAATCAATAGACATTCTTCTATCCAAGAAGCCAGTTGTAACAAAAATAAATTTTGGATTTAAAAAAAATTTTTTTGTTGTTCTTTTTAGTTATACATGACAGTAGAATGTATTTAGACATGTTATACATACATGGAGTATAATTTCCCATACTTGTGGTTGAACATGATGGGAGTTACACTGGTTGTGTATTCATATATGAACATAGGAAAATTATATCTGATTAACTCTACTGTCTTTCCTATTCCCATTCCTGCTTCCCTTCATTTGCCTTTATATAATCCAAAGTACTTCCCCCCTGCCCCCCCACCTTATTGTGTGTTAGCATCCACATATAAGAGAGAACATTTAGCCTTTGTTTTGGGGGTTGGTTTATTTCACTTAGCATGATAGTCTCCAGTTCCATCCATTTACCTGCAAATGCCATAATTTCATTGTTCTTTATGGCTGAGCAATATTCCACTGTATGTGTGTGTGTGTGTGTGTGTGTGTGTGTGTGTATCTCACATTTTCTGTTTTTAATTTTATTTTTTTATAGTTGGACACAATACCTTTATTCTACTTATTTATTTTTTTGTGGTGCTGAGGATCGAACCCAGGGCCTCGCACATGCTAGGCAAGTGCTCTACTGCTGAGCCACAACCCCAGCCCCTACACCACATTTTCTTTATCCATTCATCTGTTGAAGGGCATCTAGGTTGGTTCCATAGCTTAGCTATTGTGAATTGGGCTGCTATAAACATTGATGTGGCCGTGTCACTATAGTACGCTGATTTTAAGTCCTTTGGGTATATACTAAAGAGTTGGATAACTGGGCCAAATAGTGGTTCCATTCCAAGTTTTCTGAGGAATCACCATACTGCTTTCCAGAGTGGTTGCACCAATCCCACCAGCAGTGTAGGATTGTACATTTTTCCCCACATCCTTGCAACATTTATTGTTACTTATATACTTGATCATTGCCATTTTGACTAGAGTGAGATGAAATCTCAATGTAGTTTTAATTTGCATTTCTCTAATTGCTAGAGATGTTGAACATTTTTTCATATATTTGTTGACCATTAGTAGTTCAATTCCTTTGTCCACTTACTGATTGGGTTATTTGGGTTTTTTGGTGTTAAGTTTTTTGAGTTCTTTATGTATCTTAGAGATTAATACTCTATTTGAGGTTCAGGTGGAAAATATTTTTCTCCCATTCTGTAGGCTCTTTCTTCACATTCTTGATTATTTAAATTTTGGATTATAACAAAAACAGCAATTCATTAAGAATCCAAATTAAATTTCAAGTGAAACTAATGAATAGACTTTTAGATTATTTGATCATCTAATTAATGAAGAGAAAGAAACAAAAAAACACATTGAGAACAAGTTAAATTTTTTCCTAGTTTGACAGAAATGATCAATATCGACCAAAGTAACCTAAAACTCACCAGATGCTGCTACTGTAAAGAGGACATTAACAATATATTGGTTAAGGGGCTGTGGTTGTGGCTCAGTGGTAGAGCGCTTGCCTAGCATGTGTGAGGCACTGGGTTTGGTTCTCAGCACCACATAAAAATAAATGAATAAAATAAAGGTTCGTTAATACCTAAAAAACCCCAATATATTGGTTAGTAAGTTTGTTAATTTAAAGATTCAAATTAATATTCCAAATATTCAGTTTAAATGAAAAAAACTTGATGAAAATGTTCTTAAATATAATCATGAACATTGATATGACATACCAATAATGAACTGAAAAAAAATCTCAGGTAGTAAATTAATAAAAATATAATAGATTGTGATTATTTTTTTCATTCTAAATAAAAATTCCCATTTTCACCTGATTTTCTATTTACTATGTGTATATGCTTTTTCTTAATGGACTCCGCTGTCCCAACTATATAAACTTCAGGTCCCATAGAAGCTGAATCCATTCCTGCTTCTTCTCCCTGCCTCCATGCCCAACACTGTATTATTTTCCTGGAACTCAATTGTAACTTGGAGAAAGAGTAAGAAATCTGTGAATGAACTGGGACTGAACTTCCACTATGTACGAGATATTGTCTGCTGTACTCAAAATCATCCCTCTTTTTCTAAGCTCTTGCCAGTATTGCAGGAGCCTCACTACTTTGCTCATTCTCCTGTTGCCTTTGTTTAGATGTAATCACCAACAGGCATTCTGGTGAGACTTGGAAGATAAAAGAAAACCAGAAGCCATTATTGATCCTTCAAGATCAAAGACCCGTGAACCTCAACAAACAAGAAAATAAAATTTTGTAATGGTTTCTAGAGACCTTCCTGAACTCCTCTACCCTGGCCATGCAGCCAACAGAGATAGCTTTCAAGATTTCTGCAACTTCCTTTTTCTTCAAATGATGGTTGGTTTCACTGACATTTGCTCTTTCTAGAAATGCCCAGTGTTTTCTGTTTTCTTACTACATCTTGATTGATTCACCTGATGAAATGGAAACCTAAGTGTTAGAGGAAAATAAATCTACCTTCCCTGTGCACCAGAATTTGTGGTTGAGATGCCCCCACCCCTAGTTCAGTAAGAAGGAGGGCATCAATAAGATATGAGCTCAGAGGCTGGGGTTGTGTCTCAGTGGTAGAGCACTTGCCTAGCACGTGTGAGGAACTGGGTTCAATTCTCAGTACTACATATAAATAAGTAAAATAAAATAAAGGTCCATCAATTTCTAAAAAAGTATTCAAGCCAGGCACAGTGGTGTCCTCTTATAATCCCATGCTAGGTATAATTGTACTTTGGCATGAACAAAATTATGTTTGGCACTTACCCTTAATCGTTCCCATGTTCTCCTCGCCCTTGGCTCTGCCATTTGCTAAATCTGGTACATTATTTCCATACTGTTTCATTTCTTCTCTTCGGGCCCAACTCTCTCAATACTGTTATGAATCACACACTACTAAACAACTCTCCAAATTCACCCCAGCTTTCAGATTCTGGAGGTTAAAAGATTTAAAAAAAACAGTCCTCATTCCAATTGGGAGACACTACATGTAATTTTAATCTTGATGTTATTAAAATGTTAATTATAAAATGTACATACATTAAGGAATTCTCTTTTTTAAATTTTATTTTTATTTATTTTAGCTGTTGATGGATCTTTATTTTATTTATTTTATTTTATATGCAGTGTTGAGGATCGAAACCAGTGCCTCACACATAGTAGGCAAGTGCTCTACCACTGAGCCACAACCCCAGCCCCACTTTAAGAAATTCTTTCAAAACACAGTTATGGTGAGCTTTTACTCATAGATTAACAACTTAACTGGTGCTTCCAAATTGGGTTAATTTAAAGTGGACTGTTCCTAATGGAAAGGAGTCGCATCAATTGATTTATTCTACATATGGCAAATCCAGGCTGCCATTGCTTGGACTCCTAAAAGCTATCTAGGTGAAAGAATGCCTTTTCAAATAAAAAAGAATAAATTGCAGACTGGGTACAGTGGCACAGTCCTGTAATCCCAGCTACTTGGAAGATTGAAGCAGGAGGATCCTAGGTTCGAAGCCAGCCTGGACAATCTATCAAGACCTTGTTTCAAAAGAAAAACAAATAAATAAAAAGGGGTGGGGTGTAACTCAGTGGTAAAGTGGCCCGTGAGTTCAATCCCAAAAGAAAAAGAAATAAAGATTGCAAAGACCACACATGATAGAGTTAGAAGTACTTATGTTAGCCTCAGGCAAGCAAACTTTATGTGTTACTCTTTTTGAATATTGATTCATTCCAGGAATAGTTTAAATTAGTACTTTCATTCAAAGGCTCAAAGGCATTATGCTTGCAGCAAAACTAATAGTCACTTCCTGATACCACTGACTTATGTATATTTTTTTTCTTCTTGTCGTTTGAGAAAAGGAAGTCATAAAGCCAAGCATCTGGTTTCAGTATTAAGCTTCAAAGATAGAGATTCTACCTGTATTGCAGAAAACTGGTTCATTAAAATCCTTTGCTCTTTTCATTTATCACCCAAATCTGTCTACTTACACCTGTGGATAAGAAGGAGTAGGCTTCTATAAAGGGATGCTCCTTACTTGGTGAGCTCATTGAAATCTTGAATTGCAAAAGTCAGATTGGGTTGTTTTAGGTATCTTTCTTTAAGGAAAGGATTCTTACTGCCATGGCATAAGCAGATATCAAAGAGATTAACTGAGATTCACTGGTCTCATGCAATGTAATGAATCATTATAAAAGTAGATAGTTTGGCATAAAATGTGGGTTAGGTACTTGGTGCAGGGTGCAGAAACCAACTTGAAATAGCTTAGAACTAACAAGGGAAGTTTTTAATGATTATTTGAGTTTTCTCAGGAAGGGAGGCCACAAAGCTTCAATAAATTAAAGTGGCAATGAAATAAAATAAAGTGGCAATAAATTAAAGGGAACTGTCCATTTTTTGTTTTTTGGTTTGTGTGTATGTGTGTGTGTGATAGTAGGGCTTGAACCCAGGAGCACTCTACCAATGAACTACATCTTGAGCCCTTTTAATTTTTTATTTTAAGATGGGGTCTCACTAAGTTGCCCAGGCTGGCCTCAAATATGTGGTCCTCCTGCATCTGGTTGGTGGTCAGCCTCCCCATTTGCTGGGATCACATACGTGGGCCACTGTGCCTGAAAAACAACTATGTAAGGATCATTTCATAGAAAGTATACAGGAGGTTGGGCTGGGGATGTGGCTCAAGTGGTAGCGCGCTCGCCTGGCATGCGTGCGGCCCAGGTTCCATCTTCAGCACCACATAACAACAAAGATGTTGAGTCCCCCGAGAACTAAAAAATAAATATTAAAAATTCTCTCTCTCTCACTCTCTCTCTTAAAAAAAATTACACAAAAAAAAAAAAAAAAGAATCAATGTTGGCCCAGATGTCTTGAGAACA